TATGATTGAATCAGTCTTTATCTATGAGCTGAATTCAGTGTGCTATCGAAGAAGGTGCCGCAATTGGTGACAGACAAATATTAACAACTAAAAGGTATGTACAATAAAGTATTCAGATTCTGATATGAAACTTAATAAAAAAACATCTTTCTTTTCAAAAATGTCACCTGTATTGAGATTGAGTGAAAGTAAGTTGAAAATGTGTAACTAACAATAAAAAGTTGTAAACAAATCCAAGTATTTCCTTCGTTGGACGAAAACAAATGCTCACTTATTATATTATTTCTGACAAACATTCTTCCTTGTAGATAACGGAATTATTAAATTATTTTTTTTTGCAGGAAATACCGAAATTGAAGCCCTGGAGCGCTGAAGGCCATCCCAGAAGTAGTGACTGTAAGAAGACGAACTTTGTTTCAATCATCGTTCGTATCAAAATCGTCGTCAAGTTCTCCATCCAAATGGCAGATCTCCAGTTACCAACCATTCAGGCTTTGGATTACTTTTTACGGGAAACTGGAGTCAGGATCAATGCCTGTAATAACAAAGGGGAAACACCATTACATCTAGCCGTGCAGTTTGAAGATACGGAAGCAGTGGAATTTTTCTTAGAGTGTAGAGCAAATATGGATGCCGAAACCAAACGTGGTGAAACGCCGTTAATAGAAGCAGGATTGAATAGTTTCGTGCAAATCATAGATGTTCTGTTAGAACACGGTGCTGTTTACAAGATCAAAAACGTTGTGAATCAAAATCTGATTCATTTGGATGTGCAAAGTTACCAACCTGTGGTCTGCATGTAGCAGCTGGTGAGAAAAAAAATGGAAAAACCGTTACAGCATTGTTACAGCAAGGCGCCACAGTTGATATGGTGACTTATAATGAGGACCTTCCTCTACATAAAGCAGCAGTATCAGGAAACGAGCAAGCAGTAAGGCTGCTCTATCGAAAGAATTTTTTAATTTGGTAAAATCGATGTGGACTCACACCTTTCATTAAAGGTCATTATTACGGCTAAATCCTATGGAAGACGGTCAGTAGTGTATTTACTTGAGGAGCTGGAAATGTGTGAAAAGTTTCAAACAACCAGCACGGACAGTTTCCACGACTTCGAGTTTCAAGCGTTTCTCCCTGGGTCCAAAATTCTTCAAATTTTATACAATTTGTCACAGATATTGTGAAGGAATCAGTTTTTGGTGGATATCGAATGGCAAATGTGTCACTTGTTCTTGATTTAACTTTATCACATTCTGCATAAATAATAAATAAGTTTAAATAATCTTCTTTTGTATAATTTAAGCGTCTGGGCATAATTATTAAAAGGTAACCGACAGCTGCAAGCATTCCTTTGTCATTTAATTGTACTAAAAATGGCCACTTTCGTCATGGCAACTAACAGTGACAGGATTTAAAATTAGATGCGGCAAAATAGCCATATGAAAACATTAAATTGACAATATTTGGAAAACTGAACACTTTTTGAATAGACAAACTTTATTTTTGATACTAAATAAGATAAAATTATCAAACATGGGGGTTTCTATTTGAAAAAATTGATTTAGGGCGGTTTCCTTAACGACATTTTGAAACGTATTTTTTTAACACTTTGTATTAATAGTTAACAAAATTTTGGCGAAATTCCATTAAAGTAAGTCTTTTTCAACAGTAAATGCGTCTCAAATTCAGTATAATATATTCCCTTAACGAATATTGATTCAAATGGCTGCGACTGTAATTTTTTACATAAAATTCCAAATATATCAAGAACGGTTAGACTTAGGTGTAGGATATTCTACATGAAATATATTTAGAATGTGGAGTACAATTTAAAAAAGTTATAATATATAGGGTGCTCCATTTAAAATAAGCAAGTTGATATCTACTTCAGGTATAACCGGAGGTGTGGCCATCTTGAAAATAGTTTAGACCGTTTGCCCCCAATGACTTCGGCAGACTGTCCAATTTTGAAATTCCTCCTAATTACAGTTTGCCAGATATCGATTGCAGCGGTTGCCGGTGGGACACCCTGTATAGCATAAAACAATATTAAGACTACATTTTATA